CCCAACCACTGGAACTCCCACTAGCAGCCCAACAGGTAGCCCAACCGGGACTCCCACTAGCAGCCCCACTGGAACCCCAACCGGAAGACCTACAGGTACCCCTACCTCAAACCCCACTGGATTGCCAACAGTGAGCCCCACTTTGAGCCCAACTACACTGAGTCCAACAGTTGCCAGTGGCCACCCGAGTGCTTCCCCCACCACTGTAAGCCCAACAACGGGAACACCAACATCAAGCCCAACTGCGCTCCCTACCGGAACACCTACAACCACGCCAACTGCAAGTCCCACATCGATGCCTACACCATCTACTGAAAGCCCAACAAGTAGTCCTACTTCATTTTATCCTTGCTTCCCTGCTTGGGCATACCACTCAACTGGTGCTATGCTCCTTTCTGATATTGGATACAACACATGGGGAATTACGAACGGTATGTTTGACTTGTATGGCTGCGGATCATGTAACTGCCCAACGTGTGCATCTGGAGCACCGCTGTGCGACCATCCAGAGGATCCAATTCCGGTTCAAGATCAGTGCACGTGTGTATGTCCTGCCGAGGGTTACGAAGACCCAGGTGAAGTTAGCAATGATGCTATTGCTGCATCAATTGCTTCACCGATTACAATGACGCTCCTGGTTCCGGAAGACAAAATCTTGTCAACAATCCCTACAATTGAATCTGGTTTGGTTGAAGTTGGAGATGTGGTGCTTACAATCAAGGACCGCAAGATTGATATTACTGTGACTACGATTGGCTCATACACAATTGACCAAGTCAATGTGTATATTGGAGCTGAACGCCTTCCAGTGGATGCACAGGCCTTACAAAATGGTGAGACTTTGATGCCCTCTGAAGTATTCCCGTATCACAATGATGCAAACGATGCACAGGAAGTATCTTTCAGCCTTCAAGTACCCAGCTACAATTTCTACGTTGCTCTGCATGCAGTAGTGTGTGAAACAACCGCCAGTCCTACTATGGTGCCAACAACTTCACCATCCGCTCTTCCAACAACTGCTTCTCCAACAGTTATCAGTGGCCATCCCAGTGCAGCGCCAACAACAAATATCCCAACGACTACGTATCCCACCGCTATTCCAACACAGACACCAACAGGCACACCAACGGACACACCAACGGGCACTCCCACGGGCACTCCCACCGGCACTCCCACCGGCACTCCCACCGGCACTCCCACCGGCACTCCCACCGGCACTCCCACCGCACACCCACCGGCACCACACCCACCGGCACCCACCGGCCACCCACCGGCACACCAACCGGCACACCAACCAGTCCACCCACCGGCACACCAACCCGAACTCCTACAGGAACACCAACAGGCACCCCAACTGGAATGCCAACTGGTTCCCCAACCTCAAGCCCAACCACCATGGCCCCTACCGTTGCCAGTGGCCACCCCAGTGCTTCACCCACAACTGTTAGCCCAACAACCGAAAATCCCACATCAAGCCCAACAGGATCGCCAACTGGAACACCCACCGGAACCCCTACAGGAACCCCACAGGCACACCAACTGGAATCCCCACAGGAACACCAACTGGAACTCCTACAGTAAGCCCCACTGCTGCACCAACAACAAGTCCCACCTCATCACCAACAGTAGCTCCTACACTTGCTCCTACCACGAGTCCTACTGAAGCACCATCAACTAATCCGACAACTGTAAGCCCAACAACCGTGACACCTACTGTTGCAAGTGGCCACCCCAGTGCTTCACCCACTACTGTAAGCCCAACAACAGTAACACCCATCAAGCCCAACAGGATCCCCAACTGGAACACCCACCAGAACCCCACAGGAACCCACAGGCACACCAACTGGAACCCCAACTGGATCCCCAACTGCAAGTCCAACATCTTTTCCCACTGGTACACCCACTGGTACACCCACTGGTACACCCACTGGAACACCCACTGGTGGAACACCCACTGGAACACCCACTGGAACACCCACTGGAACACCCACTGGTACACCCACTGGTACACCCACTGGTACACCCACTGGTACTCCAACAGGAACTCCGGCCCCTACAATTTTTCCAACGGTATCTCCAACAGGTATACCTACAGGAAGCCCTACAAGTACGCCCACAGACACCCCAACCGGAGCACCAACTGGAACCCCCACTGCAAGCCCTACTGGTACTCCAACATCAAGCCCCACACATCTGCCAACTGAAATCCCAACAACAATCGCACCAACTTCTGTGAGTGGCCACCCCAGTGCTTCGCCCACAACTGTTAGCCCAACAACTGGAACCCCCACATCAAGCCCAACAGGATCTCCAACTGGAACCCCCACGGGCACACCAACTCAATCCCCAACAGGAAGTCCAACGTTTGCTCCCACGAGTTCGCCAACAGGCTCACCCACTGGCACGGGAACACCAACTGGACCGCCCACAGGAACACCAACAGGATCGCCCACTGGCACGGGAGCACCAACTGCAGCTCCAACCGGCAGGCCAACTTATGTTCCAACGAAGAACCCTACTACCCAGCCCACATTAGCTCCCACAGGCAGTCCTACTGTAGCCCCTACCCGAAATCCCACTGGCCAACCCACAAGAAACCCCACAGAGCTGCCAACCATTGCTCCAACAACCCCTACACCAACGGTTGCAAGTGATCACCCCAGTGCTGCACCCACTACTACCAGCCCGACAATCTCCCCTACAGATTTACCAACAACTCGTCCAACCCTGCTTCCTACTGAAGTTCCCACAGAGACTCCAACTCTGTCACCAACAGACACACCAACAGTTGTTCCAACAACTGGACCAACTGTTCTTCCCACAGAAGTTCCTACTGAAACCCCAACTGGCATTCCAACTGCTCAACCCTCATATGTACCAACTAAAACACCAACAAGTGAACCAACCACTGACCAACCAACTACTACAACTATGTCCCCCACTGGAATCCCTACAAGGATCCCGACCCAAGTCCCCACTGAAAACCCAACCAGCACACCAACTAAAGAACCAACTTCAGAAGCACCATCTACTCTCAGCCCATCCAAGGTCACCGGAGCTCCAACTGGCTCACCAACAGGAATCCCTACAGGATCCCCAACCACAACGCCAACTTCTTTCCCAACAGTCACCCCAACGGCTATCCCAACCACAAACCCCACAGAAAGCCCAACAACGCTCTCACCAACAGTCGTTAGTGGTCACCCCAGTGCTGCACCAACAACTGAAAACCCAACCACGGCATCGCCAACAGCAAGTCCAACATCTTCACCCACTGGAACTCCAACAGGTACACCAACATCATCACCAACTGGTCTTCCAACTGTCAGCCCAACAACATTGAATCCAACAGTTGCAAGTGGCCGCCCCAGCGCTGCACCTACTACTATTAGCCCTACAACAGGAACACCTACTTCCACCCCAACTGGTAACCCAACAGGATCTCCCACAGGAACGCCGACAGTCAATCCTACTGCAAACCCCACTGGTACACCAACCTCAAGTCCCACTGGAGTACCAACAGGAACACCGACGATATCCCCGACAACGCTCGCTCCTACTGTAACAAGTGGAAACCCCAGTGCAGCACCTACTACCTCCAGCCCAACAACGGGAATTCCAACTGTTGCTCCCTCGGAGCAACCAACAACCCCAACCCCAACCACTCTGACACCCACAGTTGTAAGTGGTCACCCAAGTTCATCCCCAACCTCCCTGGCTCCTACCACATCGAGCCCAAGCTACGAGTGTGTATTGGAGGTGGGACTGGACAACCAAGACTACACTGTGGATGCTCCAGAGAGTGATCTGGCATCATTGTATGCACCAAACTTCTCTCAGTTCCTTGGTCTCCTTGGATCTGGAAGCAACAACATGGGTGTTTCCATTACCATCCCTCCAAGCACTGGAGAAGCCATGAATGCTGACTTGCTCAGCATTGAGTTCAACCTGTACCAGGTTGATGAATGGAATCCTCAAGACAAGATCTTTTTGCAGATTGGAGACATTGAAATTGATCTGGGTGAGATGGACGCCACAAGTGTCAGTGAACCCCTTGATGGCTATGAAGGTGGCATCACTTGGCACCGTGACACTGTCACACAGTGTGTCAATCTTGACTTTGGAGATCAAATGGATAAGAAGCATGTTGTGGAGCTGACAATCCCTTCCAGCCTGTTCCCAGACAACAAGCTGGACATTGGTTTCCGGGTTGAGACAAGTCTGGACCTTGGTTCTGAGAGTGCGGTGGTAGATGAACTTCGAGTCACTGCTCACTATGACTGTGAAACCTCAGGACCAGTATCAACCTTGGCTCCTTCAGCCCCAAGCCCCACTACCTTGGCTCCCAATGGAATTCCCACAACCAGCAGCCCCACAACTCCAGCACCCACCATGCTGCCCAGATGTGCACCAACGGCTGCACCAACGTCCATTGCCCCGTCCTCAGCAGCACCATCTACTCTCAGCCCATCCAAGGCCACAGGAGCTCCAACTGGTTCACCAACTGAATCCCCAACCACAACTCCAACTTCTTTCCCGACAGTCACCCCAACGGCTATCCCAACCAGCACAGAGGCCCCCACCATTGCACCCACAAGCCAAACTGTCTCTCCTACTTCCCCCACTTCAGTTCCCACTCCATCAACCCCATATGTCTGCAAAGATGCATGGGCACATCATGCTGTTGCAGCCATTTCATTTTATGATATTGGTTACTCTAGTTTTGGATGGACTAATGGAAATTTCGATCTCTATTCCTGTGGATCCTGTGGGTGCCCTGTCTGCTCCTCAGGAAGCCCAATCTGTGATCGCTCAGAGGAAATTTTGCCTCCCCTTGACAAGTGCACATGTGTGTGCCCAGGAGGTGGAGCAGGGGATGAAGATCATTTGTCCAGCCCATTCATTGTTGCTTCAATCGCAACCCCGGTGGTTCTTGAATTGTATGCTTCATCATCCAGTGCTGGCGAGCCTGAGGGGCCTATTCTGGGCACTGTCATGGTCAGATTTGATGACAAGCAGGCCTCTGTTACCTATTCCACGTCTGCTGGCTATGTCCTCTCAGAGTCCAACCTGTATTTAGGAGACACTCGTATCCCGTCTGCTGATACAGGAAATGGTACGGCGACACCTGAACTGGATGTTTTCCCTCATAGATCTGAAACAGAGACAAAGGAGGAAACTTTCTCCTTTGAGATGGATACATATGATTTCTACATCGCTGCTCATGGAAGAGTCTGTGGGCATTTCCCAACAGAAGCACCCAGCTCCGCTCCAACTGCTGCTCCTTCTGTATCAACTCCTGTACCAACAAAGAGTCTGACCCCAAGGGCGCCCAGTGGCACACGAGCTCCTACTAGCCAGACACAGGCACCAAGCACAACATTGTCACCAACTTCCATCACAACAGCACCAACAGCACCAACAACACCAACAAGTGAGCCCAGCAATACCATTTCTCCATCTTTTTCCCTGTCCGATATTTCAAGGCAGCCAACAAGCCAGCCGAGTATTTGCGAAGACCATCGGACAATTACTTATGAGGACTTTGAACACTATGACTGGAGCTGGAAGGGTGGCAACGTGACCAGACACCATGAGTTTAGTACTTTCCTTGGAAGATTAGGCGAGCACACGCCAACGGTCTCAAAGGAGTTCCGTGTCCCTCCTGATGCAGATCACATTACTGTTGAATTCCTCTTTTACGAGATTGATTTTTGGTGCAGCTGTGACCACATCACCGTTGAGGTTTGCGACACTCAAGTTGATTTGGGCAAGTTCACTCCCGGCGATCGTGGATATGTGGAGGGAGAAGTTGATGGTATAATTTGGTCAAGCAACAGTCTAACTGGTTCAAACATGATGGGCTTCAATGGATTCAACGACCAGAAGCATGAGATGAGAATGACAATTCCGGCCAGTTGTTATGCATCAGGATTTTTGGACCTTGCATTCAATCTTACGACAAGCGACCTCGCTAGTGGTGGTGTGGACAATTTGAACATTACTGCTTTTGGACTCTGTGGTATTTACTATCCTGATGTTGAGATTGACTATGTTGATATTGAAGCAGGTGGGCCAACGCAAAGCTTGGAACCTTCGGCATCCCCTAGCGTTTTCCCAAGTGCTGCGCCATCGTTCAGCAAGGATGATTCCACATGCACAGAGGCCAGAATGGTTGTCTTTGAGGACTACGAGGGATACTACGACAACAGCTGGGTTGGAGGTGAAGTAAATGATGATTATCAATTGCAGTTCAGCCACTTCCTGGGACGATTTGGGCGCGACCAAAACAGAGCATCGAAAACTTTTGATGTTCCAAAGGACGCCAAGAGCCTAACTGTGGAGTTCTTGTTTTATGAAATTGACAGCTGGGAGCACCGTGACAGGCTTCTATTCATCGTCGGCAGTACGAGGTTGGACTTGAAGCAATTTGGCATCAAAGACCCGGCAGAGCCAAAGAACTTGTACTCTGCATCAGGCAAAGCCAGTGGCATTTCATGGCAAAGAAAGACGGAAACAGAATCTACAAACTTGGGATTTTCGTCCTTTGCTAAAGACCAAAAGCATCGCGTGTCTGTGTCGATTCCATCAAGGTATTATGCTGAAACCGGCAAGCTGAAGTTGGGATTCTATTTGGAAACCAGCCATGATGTCTGGAGTGAGAGTGGTGGAATTGACAACTTCAAGATCACCGCCCACGGAACTGACTGCCAGTCAGAGGCGTCTTCAAGAACAGCATCGGATGTTGACAGCGAAGTCTGCGCACACTTCTGGGGTGATCCACACGTAGTGACATTTGATGGCTTGAAGTATGACTGTCAGGGAGAGGGCGAATTTGTTCTGCTCAAGTCCCTGACATCCGAATTCACCGTCCAAGGTCGCTTTACTTCTTTTGAGGAAAGTAAGAGGGTTGCCGTCACTAGGAGTTATGTTGTACAAACTGGTGACGAAGGTGTCCCAAAAATTCAGCTGACTGCACCGGAGGATGCTATCGGTGGATGCACCGTAGAGTTGCTTGTCGACGGTGTTCCTCGTGACATCTATACCGAAGGAACGGGCAGTGACTTTGTGCAAGTTCAGGTTGTTGGACACAAAGGAACACAGAGAGTGACGGTTTACTACCCAAGCACGGGACTGCACTTCACATCGCTCCTGTCAGATTCTGAATCATACGGATGTTATCTGTCCTCCAGCATGTGTTTGCCAGATGACTACCGCACCGATGAAAACTTTGTGGGCCTTCTCGGTACGGGGTTATAATCATTGTTGTCTCGTTTGCTGCTGCCAACTGTGTGTATGTCTAACTAATGATTCTTCTCTTTGTCTCTTGTTCAATCAATGAATGGAAACAGGTTCTCCCAATGGAAACAGAAAGGATGATTGGATGACTCCACAAGGGTCCCCTGTTTCTATCCTTGGAGACAAGCGTTTTGAACCGGCCTACAAGTATTGCACAGAGAATTGGTGCGTCCGCAACCGTGCGGACTCTCTCTTCTCCCATGCAACTGAGCAGAGCTTCAATGATGTGTTCAACTGCGATGCACCCTACAACACTGAAATTGAGGAAGCCGTTGCCAATGCACCCGAAGATTTGATTGAAATGTGTAATGGGTGAGTGAATTGGCTGCTTGCTGTTGATTGGCTTGGAAGCAACATACAAGATTGTTTGTTGTGGCTTAACTAACCACCGTTCAATTTTGCTCGTGTTCGTTTACAGTGACATTACATGCATCATCGACGGCGTTGCCGGAAACATTGATGACGCTGAAACAGACCTTGAAAATGAAGCCGAGTTGATTGGCTGCAAAAAGCTGATTTTCTTGGATGACTTTGAGGGAACACCCGATGGAGATTGGATTAATGGTGTCGTCGACAGCAGGTCCGACAGTTTGACCCAATTCTTGGGCCCCTATGGCATTGGCCAGAACACTACGGCCCGCGAATTTGGCGTTCCCGGTGATGCGAATAGGTTGCACATTGACTTCTTGTACTATGAAATTGGTACTTGGAATGCCAACAGCGAGTTTGCGATCATCATTGGCGAGACCAAGGTGGACATGAAGGACTTTGATCCCGACATTAGGAAACTAGAAGGACTCAGTGATGGCATCTTCTGGTCTCGACACCGACTCGAGACGGCAGGAGCACTCACGTATGGAAGTTCGTCTGTTTTGGTCCACAAGGTGACACTGAATGTGCCCAGCAAGTTCTTTTCGAACGGCAATTTCAGGATTGAGTTTGTCCACAACATGATCCAACCCATCGAGACGGAAAGCGGCGGCATTGGCACCATCCAGCTCAGCGCCTACTTTGCCGACTGTGTCGACGGTAAAATTGCGACTTCCACGAAACCGTTCATTACCATTCTCACGAGTCCAGCTACGGCGTGGAGTGACGGTGTCCTGGACTGTCCCACGGGCAGTATCTGGCTCGAATGCTTTGCCGATCCCACCACCAATGCCAAGAGTTATCCGAGAACGGCTCATGTTCGCTACGAAGAGAGCTATGGCGGATACGTCTGTACCCAAGACTTGTGCACGGACTGTATTGGAAGCATTACGGTCGATTCGGTCACCGTGTTGGACGATGGAGCGACTCTGTTTGATGTCAGCTCGGACGATTTCCTGTTTACCGCATTTGGCGTGGAAGCCGGAGGTGACTTTTCCGGTCTCTTATTGCAACCTCCCGTGAACGAGCAACTTGGACTCGGCAAGGCGGACGAGACGAACAAGGTTAGTCATACCGAATTCTGCTTGCAACCAATTGGTGGAGCACCAGCAGGTCGAAGTCTAGCAGAGGCAGAGGAAGCAGAGGAAGAAGCAACTCCTGGCTGCCATTCGGCATTTGCCTATTTCAGCAAGGACAAGTCAACCTGTTTCAAGGATCTTGGCTTTTCTGGCGATGAAGGCGAGACTGGTTGGTCCAATGGCATGTTTGCCCCCTCGACGGTCCCATACTCGTTTGATATTTACGCCAATGCCGACGACTGCAACGTCGGTCGCGGTCCACTGCTTGGTTCCTTGACGTTGGAATACGATGGAGAACGAGCGGTTGTCTCGTACGAGGCGACGGCGTCCCTGTATTTGAAAGAGACATCGACGTATGTCGGCAAGAACGTATTGCCGTTGGATGGAAGTTCCGAGACTGTCGACCCCAGTCGCTTCCCCATATGGCACGGAGACGAGTTGCTCTCCGGATCGACTGTGGATGGATTTGAAATGTCTGGTTTTGGTGGTGATGGTATTTCCATTGTGGCCTTTGCCACTATTTGTGATGCGACAACCACCAAAGCACCGAAAAAGACGGAAGAAGCGCCCAAGACGGCGGTTGCCATGGTCGCCACTCCAGTAGTCGAGAACGATGCGAGCAGCAAGACGGTCTCGTGTCAATCTGCCTTTGCGTATATGAATGCGGAAATGTCCACCTGCTTTAGCGATATGGACAATGCTGGACAAGACAGCTTTGGTTGGTCGAATGGACTATTTGGTCCATCTTCCGAGCCGTACCGTATGAATGCCTACACGGGCAGCAGTGGATGTCAACGCAATCAATTGGTCGGTTCCGTAGCGGTCACGCACAAAGACGGTCAAGTGGATGTTCGTTTCGAGGCGGCGCCCCACCTTTGGTTGCAAGCAACGCATGTCTATGTCGGCAAGAATTGGCTTCCCACATCGCAAGAAGATGGCGAAGGCACCATGGATCCTCGTCAATTCCCCGTCGTGCACACAAGTCTAGACAAGGCTGCCACCAGTGACACGTCCGTGGTTCGTGTGAGCACCAATGATCCCGTCGTGGTTGTGGCGCATGCGACAATCTGTGGTGTCTTTGATGCTGAGAGCGATGGCACAACCATGGCAGACGACAATCACGGTCTCCGCGGCGGTACCACTCCTGCCCCAGTCATGATCGAAGACAGCTCTTGGAGCAATCGATTGTCCAATCTTTGGTAAAGAAAGACGAAGGTTGATATCATTCAATGATCGAAATGATGAATGAATGAAGATGATGAGAGGTTTATTCTGAGCTAGCGAAAAATCTAGCCAGCGGAGGAAACTGTTACCAAGTACAGAATGTAACAGTTTATAACTATTTGTTTGTGTATTGTCACAATGGACTCTTATCCTTTCTTGCACCAGCTAGTCCAGTAGTACCGTACCGTATGGTAGAGGATTTGGAGATTGTGGCCTGCTGATTGCATGAGTTGAGTTCATCGTTACTACGAGCCCATCAGACAGGCAAGCTCGAGGACGAGGACGAGTCATAAGCTGATGCTCAGGTATTTATGGTCCTTCAAACGCAGCCAGGGCTGGTTGTCAATTGTGCTGTGATGGGTACGACTGTACGTTCGGCGTTTGTTGTTGGTGGTGGGGGTGTTGGGCCTGTACGGTGGAGCATTATGGTACCGGTACATGTACAGTACCGGTAGTTCGGCATCAAATTCGAGAGCACTCCATCACCAGAGTTGCCGGTGTTTCAAGAAATGTCAACCATGGCGCTCGCTGTGCTGCACTGGTCGCTCAAATAGCAACAGCAACGCAGCTAGCTACCACTAGCTAGCCAGGCAAACACAGAGTGAATAGGGAGCCTGGCTTCGTAGATGAGCCGCCTGCAAGGCGAAAATGGCTTGTGTGGGCGAGACATGTGACTGTTTTTTGGCAGTCACGAGTGTCAAATGAGCCAAATCGGAGCTCAAATCGGTGTGAACCGGTGGCATGTTCAGCGTCCATGGTCCATGGCCCCAAAACAGCAACCTCGACGTTGCTCTCCCACGCTGTTTGCCCATCCCGCGATCTCTGTTACAAGGAGTCTTTTAAAAGGAGGTCCACCGGAAACCGGATGGTGGGGCAGACGGTGCGAGTTCCTCTAAGCAATAAATACTTCAGACCTCTGCGCACCTCTTGCTGGATGGCGCGAGTCAGGGCTTGAGCAGCAGATCAGCAACAACAGAAAAACTCGCCAAATCCTTCCTCAAATATGCTCTTGTAGTTGGCTCTGTGCTACATGTTACTCTATTTCAAGCATCAGGCAGTGTCGTAATACCACCCAAGAGTATGGGTACGAGTTGTTGTCAACTGAGCTGGCGCAGGGATTGAGAACTTGTGAGGTCGCGAGTTAACAGAGTCTCTAGCGAGTGACCGATGGTTCATGTTGTAGCATGCAGCTTAGTTGACAGGACCACAATCGATGTGTGGAGTGATAGAAGTAGATCAATTTTTCTATGGTGGTAAAGTGTCTAGCTTGACTACAGCATAAGTTCTTGCAGCGTCTTTTCGCCATCTTGGTTGATCGATTTTCGACAAAATGCTCGATATTCTTGTGTTGTGATTCAGTCATGCTCATACGTGACTAACTAGTCGGTGTACCTCCTTAAGAATCAGATTATTCTTAAGAATCAGGAAAAAATCTTGGGAAAATTATGATTCTTAAGAATCAAATACAGGGTAGACAAGGAATCTTAAAAATCAGCCTATTCTTAAGAATCAGAATTTTGCTGATTCTGGGAAATGATGATTCTTAAGAATCAGATTTGGAAAAATCTGATTCTTAAGAATCACCAAAATAAAAAATCCTGATTCTTAAGAATCTGCTGCTAAGATCTTGGAAATGATATACAACACCAAGTACAAAAAACATGTATCTATAGAGATTCTTAATCCTGGATGCAATCCTGTGCTTCCTATTTCTTGACGGACGGGTTCGGTAGCTGCTGCTGCTATGGTAGCTAGCTAGCTACCCACATGGCTTGCCGCTGGATCCGGCTTAGATGCCGACGTACCGTGCTGACTCTTCTTCCGTAGGACCTGTCGTTCTTCCCTGATCGGTATTTTGTCTTGTTTCGTGCCGCTAAAGGGTTTGCACCTCTTCTCTATCAGCACTGATTCTATGGCTTGATAGTGAGTCTGCTAGAACTCCCACGGAAGCACCTCTGTGGCTTTTCCTGTTGGGACTTGTTATCTTGTTGCTTGCTCTTCCATGGAAACACTTGTTGGGTGCCGACACCTTTTTTGTAGCTACTATCTGCCTTGGCGGTCAATTGTTCGCTAGTTCCTTCCTGGAACGTTAGGCTTGCTTTATTGTAAGACTGTTTCGTTCGCACACTCCTGAGCTTGATCTTATTGCTGTCTTCGTGGTCGCTTGTTTGCTCTTCTTGTTCTGCCGACAGCACTTGATACTCCCGAACTTGCTCTGCTGTCGGCCACTCGAAGCACTCTTCTCCTTTTGTAGATACTTGTATTAGATACTTGTATTGGTGTTAGATGCGACTGCTGGTTGAGCTTCAAAGACTGGGATGGCTTGTGCACGAAGATTCAGCTGTCGGCACTTGTCTGGGACCTGTTGACTCCCACTGTTCGAGCACTGCCAATGCGACTGGATGTATCTCTTCGTACTCCTTTTCGTTCCGTGTCGGTACTGCTTCTTCTCTTGCCGACACTCCTGTTAGTTTGGGGATTCTTCATCGTCTTCCTGCTCACTCCTGTGAGCTTGCTGTCTTTGTGGACTTTTCGTCGATACGATCAACGAGCGACGGCATCCAAGGAATAAGCTCACAAGAGTCGAGCAATACAGCTCGCAGGAGTAGAACAAGCAACAAGACCACAGCCAAAACGCGAAGAGAAGAAGCGCCGAAGAAGGAGTGTCAGCAGTAGAGCAAACAAGGTGAAAGCGTTACAGTTCCTCCCACGACTCAGAGTATCCGTGAGTAGATTGAGTCATGCTTTATGAGTCAACACGATGGAACAGAGAACGCTGGCAAGTACACGTTCTCAACGAAACCAAAGGACACGGTAAACTGGAGTATTCGACAGGAGTAAAGCATCCTGCCAACGAACCGTTTCCCGCAGATATCACATTGACTTCCGTATGAATCAAGATCAGCTACCACGATGCATTGATCTAACACGCTACGAACTAGCTTTACTGATCGCATCAATCAAAGCTCACAACACAGATTATGAATTACTAAGAAGCGAACTTTGCATTTACCTTGCACTCGTCTTGAATAGTTGCAGTTGATCTCGTTGGGTGGTAGCTACCTCTACAAGATCCCTCTATTCAAGTAGTATTTCCTCACGTTAGCAAAGGCGCCAGCGACCACGATTGCAGCAGCAGTAGAAGAAGCAAGAGCAAGAAGAGATCCCGTGCAAGCAATCAAGATCAACAAAGCAGAGTAGCTCACAGGAGTGAGCGAACGACGGAAGAGGGACAAGCCAGGAAGCAACGAACAAGACAAGAAGCAACGTCTAGACCTGCAAGCAAGCCTAACGTTCCAAGAACAAGGAACTAGCGACTTACGCCAAGGTAATTGCAAGGAACAAGAAACGAAGAACGAAGAGCGAACACCAAGAGTGCCGACGGACAAGAAACCAAGCTCACAGGAGTGTCGGAAACAGCAGACGAAGCAGTGCCAACACGAAAGAAAGAGACACGATCAGGTGCTGCCGCAGAAGAGGAACTAGATAACAAGTCTCAACAGGAAGAAGATCTACTGCAGGGGTACTTCCGTGGGAGTTACAGAAACTCAACAAGAGAGCCACCGGACTTGGCTACTAGAAGAGAGGTGCAACGGAGTACTCCAACACGCAACAAGCCAGATTTCTTGACCGTCCAACACTTGTGGGAGGGAGGAGGGAATTTCTTCACAGATCACAGTTGTTTGTTGGTTGAACAGTAACAATTGCTGTGCCACAAGCACAATAAGTAGATATCTGCACAATAGAAGTTGGTCTCAATAGGTTCTATATTGGTGGAGTTACTACCGGTACTAGCTAACTGGGATATGTTACATGCATGTACTGTACTCAGCTTGGTTGGCTATGAGGACTTGACGCCGTTCCGACATTTCGAGTCCTTGGTGATGCTGTTTGGATCTTTTTTGGACCCATGCCGATTTTTAGACCCATGCGGATTCTTAAGAATCGGCATTTTGGATGACCCCATTCTTAAGAATCCTGCAATACACGGCTCTTAGCCTTATTCGCGACTCGATCCTAGATAGGGTTTGAGTTCGACTCATGACTGAGTCTCTCGTGAATAGTCATTGAGACAGGGTTCTCATGCGTTATTATTAATCCAGTGCAACTATCATATATGTACCGGTAGCTAGCTGTGGCCATGAATTAAGAACTCCGGTGACCACCACAGTGGCATTGATGATTCCCAAACAGCGATACTTGCGGATTCCACATCCACGGAGGAAGGAACTGATACCAAGCCACCATCCAAAGAGGTCTCAGAGGAAATAACACATGGCCAGAACTCTGAAACGGCTTTGGAAGAAGAGAATCAAACCTCCACTCAAAACCTCAAAGGTGTGGCACCAATACTCTTGAGTGCAGCACGGGAGCAACCGAAACCAATGCTCAAAATAACCCAACCAGAGAAAAGCAGATCGATCTCACTACTACTAACGGTGGGATCCAGAATCACTCGTTGTGGGATGACATCGCAGGAGGAATAGAGCTACTACCCATGCAACCAGCTACTAGGTTAAGCCGAGGAGCAAACCACCAAACGAATGCTCGTCCCGGAGCCTACATGGGAGCATCCCAACAGCGAACCAATAATCTTGATTTTGGGCTGGTAGGTGCCACCACCAACAACACTCGGGATCCTATCCCAAGCACTGAGCAGATCAGCACATCTGCTGCTCCCAGGCCAGTTGTCAGCAACATTCAGTTGGTTGTGGCCAACCCAGTAGCGGATGACCCGGACCCTGCTGCCGAGTTAATGCATGCCAATCCAGTTGATTTGGAAGCTGCAGAGAAGAGAGAGCAAGATCGGAAGAAACAGCAACAGATTTTGGTCTTCATTCTGATTTTGATTGTTCTTGCTGCTGCTGCGATTATTGGCACTGTTGCTGGAACCCGCGGGAAAGATTTAGCCAGTGTTGCTGATGAGACACCTTCACCTACAGTCTACCCGTCTATGAAACCGTCTCGAGTTCCATCGTCTGCCCCCACAGATGTTCTGGCTACGCTTTTGGATAGTCTACCTGGCAATTCTTTGGCCAGCATCTTTAACAGTAACAGTGCGACCCCTCAGTGGAAAGCGTGGAATTGGCTAGCCAATCATCAAAACATTGCGTTTCTCCCAGTATGGAGAAAGATGCAGTTGTTTGCCATGGCAACATTCTTCTACTCCTTTGAGGGAGAAAACTGGTGGCAGCATGTTCGGGATAGGTGGATGGATGATACAAAGGAGGAGTGCCTTTGGTTTTCACGTGGATTTGGGTACTTCTTGGATGGAAAATTTTACGAATTTCCAGCTCAATTCCAAAATCTACCATGTGACAACCAAGGAAGACTCACATCTCTTAATTTGGGCAATCTTGAGCTAGAGGGCTTCTGGCCTTCTGTTCCACCAGAGATTTCCCTTATGACATCCTTGACACACATAACCCTGCAATTCTTTGGAGCCCAGGTGACGATTGCAGACTTTTTCCCATCCGAGTTCTACAGCATGGCAAACTTGGAGTATCTCAACATTGGTCCAAATTTGACTGGTACTCTACCGACGCAACTTGGTTTGATGACGGGTCTGTTGTTCATAAACCTTGTAAACAACTTTTTCACAGGCCCAATTCCCAGTGAGCTGGGGCTGTTGACCAGCATGACAACAGTGCAGCTTGCGAATCCGTATCTTTCAGGCACAATTCCCAGTGAGCTTTGGTTGATGACTTCCCTGAAGTCTCTATTTTTGGGGTCTGCAATGCTTGAGCAGCGTAGCCTTCTAAGTGGCCAGTTCCCTAGCGAGGTTGGGTTACTGACAGAGCTAACTAGCCTGGGGATGCGCAATACAATGACGACAGGTTCCCTCCCCAGCAAAATTGGAATGGCTACAAACATGGAACGGATTATTTTGAACAATGTTTCCCTGACTGGTTCACTGCCGAGCGAGATTGGTCTGTTGTCCGTGATGCTACATATCGAGCTTCCAAGGAATCAGCTATCAGGGCCGTTCCCAAAGGAACTACAGGAACTGACTGCTCTCCAGTGGATATACCTTGATCACAACAACTTTTCTGGCAGGCTTCCTACAGTACCAGTTTTCAATCAAGAGCAAGCCTTGAAATACTGTACCTGGGAGGCAACCAATTCTCTGGCCAAATCCCTTCCGAATATGGTTCGATGACGGCCCTTAAACACCTAAATCTAACCAATTTGCCCCTGCTGACAGGAACCATTCCATCCGAGTTGAGTTCCTTGTCGGAACTGGCCCATTTGGACCTGAGTGGCAATGATGGCCTATTTGGTACGCTGGCAGATGATTTATGTTACCTGCAGAATACCTCATGTGTCCGGGGGTGGAGTTCTTGCTTTCTAAACTTTGAATGCACAGACGAGCTGTGTGGTTGTGATTGTCCATGCTCGAATCAATAAACAGTTTACCATTGGAAGAAGAATATAATCATGACACTTCCTTTATAAAAAAGTGTGGTTACACTACGGGTGACTAGCTAGTTTCAAGTCGTCAAGAAAAGGTTGTTACGGCGCACTACGGGTGGCTGGCTCAACTCGTCAAGAAATGCTTGCTACAAGCAACCATTGGCATTCCCCAGAGCATCTGCCTGCTGCCACAAAAGGGAATGCCGAAGGTAATATTCTGGAGCCCTGAGTATTTCTACTGCCACTCGAGAAAGTTGGACGGCCACAATCGCCCGTGCCAATATTATATAGATTGTGCATCAATGTGCAACAGCCTCCAAGACTCGTGTGCTGGCTGGCTGGCTGAGCACCGCGGGCCACTTGGAAAATTCTACATAGCCGACCGGGGCTTTGGATGCATTATGGGATGTGCTGCAACAGATTGCTTGCTTGAACAAACATTCAGGGTGGCTCTTAGCTAGCTAGTACATCGTAGCGTTCCAACAATGCATGGATGCAGCATGCATATCAAGAGCCACCAGGACAAAAGACAGGGCGGGTGGGCCATCAACTAGCTAGCTAGCTAACTGCCGAGCAGCCAGACAAGCTTTCCTGGCGAATTCATTCATGGCTACGCACGCCACTCAGGGGTGGATCAGCTGGTGCTCAGGCTAGCTACCGTACCCCCGATAAATGGTGTCAAGAAAGTTTGATATGAGGCAGAGCACTCCAATTCACCGGAGTGGCCTTGCCAATTTTATATCTGCTGGCGTTTCAAGAAATGCCCACCATGACGCTGGCCATTGGAACTATGATAGTAGAGGGAAAAGCAGACGAGCACTCTTGTACTTCTCTTCTTGTTCCGCGTCCAGGGAAAGACGGAAACGCAAAGACGAGGTCCGACTTTGCTCACCCTCATTATTCGTTGCAGTAGGGTTTAGGCTTTGGTTTGGTCATCTTTCTCGTGAAGAATTGCTTTCTAGAAGATGGTGTCTTGTTTTTCGGTCACACTCAATTAGTAAAAGTCATTGAGACGACGATAAATGACATACAAAGACCTCTTGGAAACATGAGTGAACACTGGTTCAAGATCACGTTAATTCTTGATAGTCAGATTCATAAATCTTCCGTGTGACTGGCTTGGGGAAGATCATGATTCCTATTTCGTTCCTTCTCCTGTGTATTTGTCCACGATCTTTATGATTTAATGTGGGATCCTCATACAGAAAGGTCACGATGACCGGGATCCAATTCTTTAGAGTCTCGTCTCCTTATTAAAACATGCTTTTCCCCGTTTCATGACTCATGGAAAGAAGAGCGTCTGAGCCCCGTTAAGTGGTAAGATCTACCTGCTCAGTGTAATAGTGGCCAAAATCAGTACCGTTCCAAGATTAGAAATAAGAGTCCGCAACTAACTAGTGTGTACTCACAATTCTATAGTCAAAACGTCAGCGCGAACGCCACTCGACGACTTGACTTGGCTGCTGGAAGGAAACAACGGCAGAGCAGCACTAATTTATTCATCAAACCGGCAGCAAAACACAATCACAGCACAACAAACCATGGTGGGATCATCATCATCATCGTCTTCTGCAGCGGCTCCCTTACTGCCGCTGCATCAACAGCAATCACAACAACAGCAATCTCCTACACGTAGTACAGTTAGTCGAGCATCGAATAGCGATTCCATGCGCCGCTCGCGACGTCGACCGCGACCTCTTCCGCGTCGCTCGTCTTCCTCTCCTCTCTCCACACTTCGCCGACAAACTCCACCATCGCCAGTACAAGTACAACCTCCACCGCTGGATCGACTCCATTCCGGCAGTGCCGTGGCGGGGTTTGTCGTGGGCACAACGTTTGAAGCGATTCTGATTGGATTGCTGGCGTTTCTGCAACTCCGCGGCAACATTCCGGAAACGGATCCCTTGCTAGCGTACGCCATTTTGTGTTTGGTGGTATTACTGGCATGGAGTCTTCTCTTTCAATTTGTATTGAGTCAATTAGACGCCCTCTGTCCACCGCTCCAAAAGTATGATCCGCAGTCGAATCTGTACGGCCATTTCAATATGGGGTTGGCGTGGGGTATGGGATTGGAATGCACGCTCCTTCAATTCATTTTCTCCAAACACCACAGCAGTGTTCTGTCATCCCTCCTAGTATCACCATCCATTGGAATTGTCTCGCTCGTCTTTGGAGTGGGATGTGTCGGCATGACCGTCATGCGCACGTATTACCAACAAAACAGCAGCAGTCAAAACAAACTCTTTCATTCCTCCTCTTCTTCCTACCAGAGATTGCAAGATCCACACAATGTGGCAGGCATGGTGTAATTCATACAATAGACAAACAAGACAAACGGGCAAACAACAAGCTAACTGCAAGTACAATACTACTACTACTGTAAAATCATAACTAACCAGGGGATCAAATCTTATCTTGCACTGCCAAAATGTATCAACTATACAAGTAGACACTTGCTTTATTATTAGATCGTGGCTAGCTAGCTACCTCCAAGTTCCCGCCTGAAGGTTCAAGAGAGACGGACGGCCCACACTTGCTGTATTGTTGTTATCGTTGGCTGTCTTGTTGGAGGCATCAAGAGCCCACCGCAACGCAACCTGCAGGGAAGGTGCCTTGTGCTAGCTAGCAAAAGGAATCACACTAGCTAGCTAGCTATTTTACTGGATCACCTCAAGTGATCCCACACAAGATCCCAACCCTTGGTTCAGTCGGAAACAGGCAAAACTAACCAGCAGTACACTACTGACTCGACTCAATTGTTCCCATTTGCAAAACAGTCTCTAGAGTCTACCGGTATCTAGCTAACTATGTATCTGGACACCAGCACATGGCGGCGACAGAAAAACGCTTCTAGCTAGTAGTACGCTGTAGCGACAGTACCTTTCCCGAATTCCACCAGACGCAAGCAAAAAAACACAAAGACTAGCTTGTGGATGCATGGCTGCCATCATGATGTGCTGGCTGGTCATCGGGCCAGCCAGCAGGACAGCCCCTCCGTACCGCACGAACCAAGCAAACCCTCTGCTCATGCCCCCGCCCTGCTGGCAGTGGCCCCCTGAATTGAATTGAATTGAATTGAATTCGAAAGCTAGCCGGTTCCCGTCTACTTGTTGGCTTTTGTAATGAACCGCTCAAGAGAGAGAGACAGACAGTCTACGCGAGCTGTCTCGTGGCATCGTTGGCTGCCTCGTTGGAGGGCATCAAAGAGCCCATGGCAACCAAGTACCTAATAACTACTCCCTCCGTCCCAATCCAATCTAACATCAGCGCCGGCCGTACTCAATCGGCCACAGTAAAAGAGACCAAAACGAGCCAGCCGGATTGGCGAATGGCCCCCACAATGCCGTTAAACACTGTAACCGCCAAAATTGACATTTTTGAAGTCCGCTTAAGAAGCTTGATATTTGCCTCTAAGGCTTCTCCTATATCCAAGGATTCTTTTGATATAATATACTTATATCTTTCTATGTCAATGTCTTTCTGGCTTGGGATCTTTAATCCCAGATCGCAGTTTTCGATTTTTAAGGCGACCTGGTGGCTTAACGAGTGCACAACTTATATATCAATATATACATGGATTTAAAGAGCTCGAAATTAGCTTTCTAGATCTGTGCCGCTTGCCTTAATTGGATGAGTATTTGTTTAACGAGATTGATTCTCCCCAGACCTGCACATTGGATTGGGACAGAGGGAGTAGCAAAAGGAATCAATCACGCTGGATAGCTAGCTAGCTAGTAGAGCTGCCTTGCACTGACTTTTCCCCATTTGCAAAACAGCGTACTATCTGGACACCACATGGCTGGCTGCATCGCGGCGACAGAGAAACACTTCTAGCACGCTCCTCCAGTTGCCAACACAGAACTTTGAAAATATACTTCCCTGGTTCAGGTGTGCAACCGTTCGACAGCCAAGGTTTGGGCTTGTGGTGGAGCTGTGTTTGCTGGATTAAAGGCGAACGAAACCGTACCAATCCACATAAACTTTTAAAACTACTACTACTAATCATTTCTTACTAACTAAATTTGTGTGTTCTTCACTCAGTGCTTGTTCGACATGGATTGTAATGTGATGTTCCTAGGTCATCAAAAGGACACCTCCAAAGGCCCTGCCGAGTCACACCAAGGCTGCCGAAAAGGCAACTCATGGCTGATCTTTTGCAGGGTCAATGGAGTTGTCCATGCTGACCAAGGTACATTCTTCTTGTTGGACCTACTTTTCCTCCGGAGACTTCTTTTCATCGTCGTTGTCGCCGTCTCTCTCACGATGGTCGTTATCAGATGGTTCGCCGCCCTGTGCATCCGCTTTTTCGGATGGAGAAGGCAACGATTCATCCTTCTTCAACTTGTACGTGACCACGAACGGGCAATCGTGGCCCACCTTGGGTACACCACAGCGCCCACAGTTGTAGCCCTGCTTCTCGTCATCCTGTCCGTATCGAGGCTTCTTGGCCTTCGGGGCATCTCTTGGTGGGGATCGAGGCTTCTTGGCTCTTGGTTCGTCTGCTTGCGACAGACCACCAGGAGAGGTGAATAGAGACATGTCATCTGGGCTCCACTGCTGGGTGTTTGCCTCATCCGGTACCATGGCCTCCAAAGGACTCTCATCATCATTTCGCCGCCCTGATCGTCGGGTTCCGATGATCCGGGCAAAGACCCATTCGTCAAAGACCACATATCATGATTTGCTTCTGGTTCCTCAGAAATGCCACGGAAGAACACCGGTTCGAACGGGCAAATGTGTCCTTTCTTGAGAGCTTGACAACGGCCACACTTGTATCGACCCCTCGTGGCCCCTGCAGGAGTCTCCTCGTCGTCTTCACGAACCATGTCCAAGATTGCGAACCGAAAGGCACTTGGTTCAAACGCTGTTGAACCGCCACGGTCCTCACTCAACCTTTGCAGCACAACTTGTGCTGCTTCCAGAAGATTGTAGTGAGACACATCAGTTGGATTCTCTGCAGCCAATCCAAGCAAGAGCATCCACAATCGGTCCGCCGCAGCCTCTGCGCGGCCCAGCGCGGTCGCGAGATCGACGCTCTCTCCATCGCTGGCAATGAGATTACCAACAAAGATCAGGGCCATGCCCACGGAAAGTGCAGAGTTTGAGAGCCCAGCATCCTTTGCTGGAAGCTTTCCGCCGCCATTGTCGTCCATGATGATCCTCTGCTTCTTGAATGAAAGAAGTGTTCGTTCAAGTCTGCGTACAAGCTCTAGTACTGTATCTTTTGTGTCCGAATGGCGAAACGTGTGCCGGTGTCTCCAGATCGGTCTTTTTGATGAAGCTAGCAGAGATGAATGGACACGGACCATGGGCCTCATATCGGAGGGTACAACTGTGCGGTACCTGTACTTGTAATGCTACTCGTAGCGGTACCTTCGAGAAGATCGATATCTTTCCCTGAAGGTCAAAGAGGGTGGCTTCATCGAGGTCGAGGATTCAAAATGAGAATGATTCAATATCTTTGACACAGCTCAGAGCATGCAACACCGGGGTACCCCAAATCACAAAACCCAAATGGTTGGCATCGAGTATCGCCGGCCGACCTGAGTCCACTGAGTCAAATGTGTTTTAGCGAACATGTGGATTCGTGTGGTCGCGCAAATCGGAACTATTTGCGCAGCCCCAGCAGTCGACCCAAACCCATTTGACTAATTGGATTCAAATTTACTTAGGGGACAAATCTTCCACATCATCAATGACGTCACAGTAACATCACAATAGGTGCGAGGAGGTTCTCTTTTGCGAGCAAGCATAGCCTTGCTGCGAGTATGGTCAACCTCCAACCATTTGGGTTTTGTGATTTGAGGTACCCTGGTGTTGCATGCTCTGAACTCAAAATTGGGAGGTGCAGTGCAGCCACTCATCAACAACCGGTACTTTTTAAAAACAGACCGGCTTACTTAGTAAAGGGCATGAGGCAGGGACCCAAGGTCGGAGGTCTGACCGAGGGCTTAAGAGAGGGCGCAAGCCCGACAGCCCGATGGTCAGGCCGGAGACCGATGGGGCACAGCCGGCCCTAAGTAGCAGGTCAGTTTTTAAGGGAACGATTAACGGCTGGTTTTGTATTTAACGCTGTACCGTGCTGCACCAGTATCGGTACCTAAGAAATGCCACTAGCCAGAGGCAACAACACCAAGAGCATTGCTGGATGCATGCATCAATCATGAGGAGCTCACCAGGCCAGAACAACCCCTACCGTACCGTAATCAAAAGCTCTGCTCATGCTACTCCTTAAGGCCTTGGAAGCCGAAGAACAAACTGCAGTCGTCAGATACCGGTAGGCGCACTAGCTGCTGCAAGAAGTAATGTACATAGTTCATTTAGTTTGGTTGGTAGACAGTTAGCCCGAGCATCATTTGGATACGCGTCAAGGCAGGAACCGTTGCTACGGTATCACTGCTTTGCTTGTTCCAAAAGACGGCGACAATACTCCTCTTCGAGCTTCTCGTCTCCGTTCAAGTCATACCACTCCCAAAACGGTATGTTGATAGTCTTCCACCCCAAGAGGCCAAGCAACCGCTCTTTCAGTGCAGTCGGACCATTCACAGGATTCCGGTCTCTGCTCATTTTGAAACTGTAGTCCAAGCGCCCTTTGTGTACCTTGGGGTAGCCTTGGTCCGCTGTCATTTCAATGTCAGTGACGAAATGGGTCGGCCCGTCAACTTCCACGGCAATACGGGCTTGCACGTCCGCAATGTCAATCGAAAGAACATCCAAAGGAACCGCAGCAAGAGGTTCTCCATTGTTCTCCAGTAGCTCGTCTAACCGTATCACATGCTCCAGAACATGGTCAAAACCAATACGGTGAAAGGCTTTGCTCACATCCTTTTGTAGATTGCTCGTGCTAAGCTGCAACGCAAACTCCAGCTCACCAAATCCGTTGCTCCTGTGAGCAAGTGACTGACGGGTCCAGCCGTCCGGAAAGTCCCCTGGGAAACATAGACCGTTGTTTTTCCGTTCCAACTCCATTGCAAGCTGCAAATATATCAAACTCATCACCGCTTCGCTTTGCAAGCCTCCGTCACCAAAGCACTGGTTTAGGTCTTCCATGCTGCTACTTCCGCCAGTGCCTGATGACGCTCCAATCAATCCACTATACAGGAATCTCATCAATTCTGGTTCAAAGTCTCCAAAGACAGCACAACTCCACGCAATGTTGCCAAGTTCCATTCGCTTGAACATGCGAGCGATTCGCTCAATGTCAAACGAGTCTGATGAGTCATTCGTCTGGCATCCTGTGGCTCGAATCATGTATGGACCAATGGTCGACCCGATATCACGGGCAGGAAAGTTGAGAATCGCAAAGGCCCAAAGTAGATTGCAAATTTCCTGTCCTTTGAAAATGGTCATTGCGTTTTTTCGTCCCTGCATGAATTGCTCGGCTCGTTCGATAAGTTGTTGGTATGCAGCGTCCAAGAACTGCCTGTGCTTCATACCCAGCAGCGCCATGGCCCACGCTGTATTGGAGATATCTTGTGGTTTGAGCCGTTCCAAGTTGTCTGTTTACCAGTGAGTCAGGAATGGTGAGAGACCCACGCGGCACGGCAGGCACACGCCAACGCCAAGCAAAGTGAATTCTGTCGGAACATCATCAGGAGACAACACGTACCATGAACTCGAAGATTGGCCTCCGCAATCTCACCAAACAATCGATGAACCAACCCCTCACCCACATCAAAGAAACTCGTAGCATACACTGCCATTTTACCAGTCTTTGTCGCCACAGTGGCAGAAATGTCGTTTCGCTTGTTGACATCTTCCACCAGCTGTGCTTGACGAGCATACGCCCATGCCATGTTCCCCAGCCCCTGGGGAGAAAAGTCATCAAAACCCCTGACTCGATTATTGCTACCACGCCGGTGATTGTTGCTGTTTCTCGATTTCTGTTGTGTATCGTCGCTTCCCACAAGATGTTCTGCTGTGGACTTGAACAAATCGGGGTGACGAATTCCAATCTGAAGAACACGAATCGAATCAAAAGCACGTGAGCACAGTTCGTGGTTGCAAACAACATGCACACCAAGCAAAGCAATGATATGACATGAAACTCTACCTTGGAGAAACTGTACAAGACATCTTTCAGCTCCTGCGATTTGAATTCGAATGGTCGTCGCATGAGTTGTTCGGCAGCTACTCCAAAACATCGAGTAATGGGATCATCAATGTTTCGCAGCGGTCCCTGGAAGCGTCGCTTGGGTGGAATCAAGACCGAGTCAAACGTATCAGGATACTGGGGTGCAATTTCGGCAGTGGCCAAGGCCCATACAGTGTTGCTCAACTCTTGCGGTTTGAAGAATCGAGCACGATCTACCGCGAGCCGTGAAGCAATGGCACGATAGAGTTTGTCATTTTTGTACTCCAAGGAAGCAAACGACCACAGCGTCGTTCCAATGTCCTTATTGTAAACAGGTGGTAGTAATGATGGAAGAACAAAGAATGGTTTAGAAACTCGTCCCAATTCATCCTTCTTTTCCATTGAGAAACGCATTCTCCCTACAGCACACACTTTACGTTGGTTCAACTCACCTGCGATGTCACTCTTCGTCGTTCCTCTGCCAGTTGCCACCCGATTGCCTCTAGTACGGATTCGGCCAACTCGTCCTTACGTCCCATGCGTGCCAATGCCCATGCGATATTGTTGAGTTCCTGTGATCGAAACTTGTGTATTCGCGGCAAGGCATCTTTTAAAATGGCCGTGGTGGCGTCTCGTAGCAATGCTTCGTCTTGTTGGGGTTGATCCGATTTCAGCAAGACGTAATCATTGAGACTGTTCCACGACGACGCCACCGTACTATCCGCCGTCATTCCAAATCCCAACGTGGCAAATGCCCATGCGGTATTACTCAATTCTTGTGTTTTGAATTGCGACGCTCGGTCGGTTACGGCACGTGCGACGTGCCGTAGTATCACCAATGCCGCGGCTTGTTCTGACTCGTCAACGGCCTGAATGCCCTTTTTACTGAGCAACGTGGCGACACTCCATGCCGTATTGGCGAATTCTTGTGGTTTGAACATGCCGGCAAATGCGGGCACGGTTTCCAACACGGTGGCCATGAAAATGAGCAACCGTACTTGTCCTTCTCCAAAACATTGGGCCGTGGCAAACGCCCAAATCGAATTGGACCATTCTTGTGGTCGCAACTCGTATTGTTGTTGACTATTACTAGTTTTTTCGGAGGAGGATGACAATTGTCGTTCCATATCAGCCACCATGGGATGAATGACTCCTTCAAAGACTTCTGGATTGGCCCGTTGTGCCGTGGCCAATGCCCATAGTAGATTGGCACGTTCTTGAAATGGATTATTCACGTGCGGACCGGAATGTTGCTGATAACTCTGCAGCACCGTGATGCCAATGGTATCCATGACGTGTCCACACAAGAGTGACAATGTGGGAATCCATACTTCGGCATTGACTTCATGACTCGACGAAGATGTGGTTTTGGTCTTGGCGACTTGGACGACTTTATCGCGCAATTGTTTGGCCGTATTGAGCAGCAGTGTCTTGTAATTGTGTTGCGACAGCAAAGGCGATGCCGATTGCGGGGGTGCAATTTTCATTTTGGCCACGGCCCAGGCAATATTGGACATGTCCCGGGCTCCAAATTGCAACGTACAGGGTACCTTTTGTCGTTTGGTATTCCCATCCTTGTCTTGATAGAATTGCTTGTAGGAATACATGTAGGGGACTTCCCCCAGGGCTTCGGCCAAACTGCAGAGAAAGAGGGCAAACCGTGGATCTGAGAGTATCACGGCCCGGTTGTGCTTGGCATCATTGTGCGGATTGTGATTTTGCTGCCGTCGCTGCTGCTGCTGCTGATTATTCTGATTATTGTTGTTGTGCTGCTGAAAAAAGTTATTCAAATGGCGGGCAATCCGATGAATGGCGGTGGAAAAGTTGACGGAATTGAGTCTTCCTCCTCCCGCGGGCGATGTCAGAGCTCCCTTTTGATTTTGAAGTGTCAGGAGCAATTCCTTGGCACTTTCACAGCCAATCAATTGTTGATTGAATTCGCGAGACGCACTCACTTGCAATGCGGGTAGCTTTTTGGTGGATAATGATCCATTATTATTATTATTATTGCGCTGGTTGTTGTAGTTGCTCTTTCTATTATTGTTGTAGCTGTAGCTGTTTCTGGGGTTGTAATTGCTGTTTCTTGCTCGATTGTTCTGATTATCATTCTGAAAAGAATGAGAAGAGGCTTCCTTGGCCATCTTGTTTCTGGCTTCCTGAACTTTATTGACTGCTTCAGGACTATCAGTATCTTCAGGAGCAGAACTATCAGGAGCAGAGCTCTGCTTGTCCTTGGTCTTGACAGTTGTGCTGCTGGCAACTACAGTGGTGTCATCAGGTTCAGCTTTTTTATTGCTCTTCTTGGTTGCCTTTTTGGTGGTTTCTTTGGTAGTTTTCTTTTTCGTCTTTGCTTTCTTGGTTGTCTTTTTGGCAGAGGCTGTGGTCTTCTTTTTCTTCTTGCTGGCACCCTTCACAGATGCCTTCACAGAGGCTTTAGTCTTCTTTGTCTTCTTTTTCGCTTTGGTTTTCTTGGTAGTAGTGGGGGAAATCTCTTCTTCCGTTGCTTCCTTGGCGACCATCAAAAGATTGTTGGAATGACGAACTCCTCGTTGCTTATTAGAGCCACCATGATGATATGCATGGTAGTAACTACGATGAGTGAGCAAACTATAATGACCAACTTGAAAGGCCCAACTGGGCAAACCACAGAGCCACAGCCAGCACAACAGACTTGTCAACCCATTGCCTCTTCTTCTTCTTCCTCTTGCTGGTACTGCTAGTACTACTGATAGATCTGTTGTCATCCTCTAGCCAGACTAATCTCTTCAGGATGATGGCTTTGCTTTGATTGATTTGATATCTTGTTGGAAGTGGAAATAAATGGGCAAGCAACAGTGCCTGTCCTTGTCGAAGCTCCCTGTGGCGGCTTTCTCTTTTTGTGGGGTGATGGCTTTCTTGTGGCTTCAAGACGTACCGGTACGCATACGTCATTCAAAAGAAGGACTGAAGTTACTCGTGACTCAATGCAAAACTCCGAATGGTTTCTTAAAAGTGGGGAATTGTTGAAAGAACACTAAGAAAAGTGCAGAAAAGAAAGAAGGAAAGAAAGAAGGGAAATGGGATGCGTGAGATGCATGCACAACTGTACTAGTAGTAGAATTCATTCACACCATAGCCATGCCATGCCATGCAGTGCTGAGCATCTCGTCATTGCTACGGGTAGCTTTAGACTAGCTAGTCTAGCTATTTTAAAGCCGCAGCAACTGCTAGCTGGGGGGATCGTTTTCGGACGAAGACTGCCACAAATCCTTTCGATTCATGCAATTGAGGCTGATTTTCTGGTAATAATAAAGGTGCTCACAAGTCGTTTTCTCGCAAGTGAAAACAAGTGGCCATGCTGCCATCGTCGGCAGAAAAAAGCTCGCTCGCCATTGCCCCAGGGCCAAGTACTAGTAGGTACTGTAGCGACTTTGTGTACGCTCGTACAGTACATGTAACTGTGTTTGCTGGGAGGAGCAGGAAAATGCATTACAGAGCTACAACACCACTACATTATTGTTGCTTGATACTAGTATCTCTTATTCTTTCTACAAGGGTATTCAACAAGCTACCCTTTTTGGTTACATGAGCACTCAACATATTGCTCCTAGATTGGTTGGTTGTTGTTCTTGTTTACAGTGTGCCTAACACACATCAAAGCCATGGCTGTTGTTGAGTTTGTCTAGTGATGAGGAGTCAGGTTGTTGTATTCAATATCACCCTTCTTCTTGCCCTTGGCATGCCTCTTCCTCATGACAAAGGATTGAGCTACCCTTTTCTTCCTTTTCTCAGCCAAGTCAACATGGCAGAACCATGCACCAGACTCAAAGCTGGGGAAGGTAACATTCAAAGTAGAGGGATCAACTGGAAAGGGGAGCTCCATGGTGACCTCTGAAATGACATCACCCCTGACATCAAGGATGGACCTGACATACTGCTGCATGGCATGGCGCCTCACATTGGTATCCTCCAGATTTTCCCTTGCGTGTTGTTGATAGAGATAATAGAACTCCCCAATATCTAAGAGGTCTTGGTGCCACTTCTCACTGATAGTTAGCTTCTTGCCATTCGCAGAGACCATGGTTTCGATGTCGGCTTCAGTCGCGCCACTGCTCAGCCAGACAATAATAGTGACATGGCGAATTCCATGCTCATTCTCCCATTCCTTGACCATCCTCTTTGGCTTCCAAGTAGTGGGGCCATCCTCATCAGCAACATCATCCTCATCATCGTTGTCAGCTATGGAAGGAAGCTGCGCAACTGCAGGAGGCCTGGCTGCCACGACAGGTACTTGGTTGCAAGGAACAAAGCTGGGAAGAATGGGTAGTGGTCCATCATCATCATCTTGTGGTGGTTGTGGTCCCCTGAGAGCAACACCGGCAGCCATTCCTCTGGCTTTGTTGAACTGAGAGCGAAACTGGTTTGTGGAGTACTTCAGAAATCGCTCATGCATGGCTCTCACAGCGGCGGGTTGTTCATCAGTGATCGTTCCATTGTGGAACAGTCGCAGTAGAAACTTGAAGTCGGGCCCATCCTGCTTGAAGATGTGCTTCACTGGTTCATTGCCCTTCTTGCCTGGAGCGTTCTTTCTGGAGGACATGGTCACTTCTTGCTTGGCCAATTGCTGTTGCTTTGGATGGTGGTTTCGATTTGTGAGAAGAAGAGTAAGAGCGCTGATCTCCATCTTGGTTTGCTTGGTTTGATGTCAGTACTTTGTTGTCAGTACTGGTATCTGTAGCGAGTTACTTGTTGTGCAGTTTGTGCAGTTTGTGCAGTTCCTTTACCAGTTCCTTTACCAGTACCGGCAAGATCGATCTTGCAAGATGGACCGGCACGAATAAAATTTCAGACACATGTGGTTCACTCCGAGACTTATCGGTCATACTGGTCCACATGGTCATTCTAACAGTTCGCGATTTTCTTCTTCCTCTCAGCCCATGTGGAAGGCGGCCATGAGGGTGTTGCAGGTGACCTTCCAACGGTCAAACCCAAAATCGCACCAATTGGTGCTCACATTTCTAGGCATCAATTTGCAAGGGCGTGCTATGGGTGTGCTTCACCCGTCACAGAACACCCCAAAGCACAAATCGCCAACTTGGAGGGGTGATATGGAATGCCATAAGGTACCAGCCTGACCAACATGGGCGGTCCCTTCTTCTACTAGTATTAGCCAGGGCAAAGGAGCCTTATTTGACTAGGAAAGGACCATTCTGGCTTTCTATATCCCTCCCTCAAAGTGCCGTTCCAGGGCGTCAGGACGTCCTGGAACACTTTTTAGTAGGGCGTTGTACACTTTTCAGCGCTGGAAATAGCCATTGTGGCAGGAGTATATGCTGGGCACAAGCATGCTTTAGAAGGTTTGTATTACTAGACAGATGAGCACTGGTCCAATCAATTGGTATCGCATGTCCCCATAGAGGAATAGCTAGAATGGGCGATTTTGTCTTAGAGGATGAAAGGTTTGGCTAGCCTAGAGCGAACCCTCATTATTTGAGACAAATTGTGGCCAGGAAATCCAAATCGATTTGAATGGATTTGAATTATTGCGCGAAAAAGACAAGCACATAAACACCAAACGTCCAGTACTCCTCTCTTAAGCCAAGCAGGATTCAGCTGATTCGGAAGAACAAACCAAGGAGCAATCGTGTCAGCGCACTTTTCAGTAGTAACTCGAAACTCCACCATGACCATCCACCATGACCATCTTCGACGGCATCTCTTTTGTTGCTGGTACCTCACAATGGCATCTCAATTTGGTCTTACAAGGTTGTCAATGGTCACCGCCTACTGCTGGATCTACATGGCGCTACAGGTGAATAGGACGGGATTGCTTTTCATGGTGTCCAGTTGGGACCATTCAATGTTGTCATAAAATCGATCTTCCACAACACCACAACAACCTCCAGCGATGCAGATCACAGCTGACACAATTATCAGAACAGCTTCCAACTACCAAGGGCTTACAGCCAGAGCAGTCAACCATGAAACTTACCGGTACAATCGGACATTTCGGGGCTGTTTTGGTTTGGCTCCTCATCTTGCGTCAGAACTGTGGAACATGCTGGACGATGAAGACCCCCTCAGTGACATTCGATGGGTAACCTACTTTCTGGCCACACTCATGTTCCTGAGAACTTACACTGTCACCGCTGTATTGGCCATGATCTTCATGAAGGATAAAAAGACAATTCGCCATTGGGTGTGGGTGTTCATTGAGAAGATTGCTACTCTTGACAACCAAGCTAGCGCTAGCGCTTTTTCTTTTCTTCATTGCCGACTCCACAAATACAGAGACCTCACCATGTACATGCTACAATCCACCATCACTGCTGCTCCAGATCAGATGGGAGAACAGACGGATGAATGACAATGGCAGTCGGTGTCTGGTAACTGTTGATGGCACCGACTTTCGCATCCGGGAACCAGGTCCTTTCTCTACTGGCTGGTATACCAAGAAGTTTAATGGTCCTGGATTGAGGTATGAAATTGGTGTATGTATTCAAACTGGATGGATTGTGTGGATCAATGGTCC